TGCAACATGTTGCATGAAATAGGAAACAGTTCTATTTCATGCAACATGTTGCAAGCTCCATTGACTCCTGTATAAACTGTGTTGCATGCAACAAGTTGTTTGCAACGAATGTTTCATAGTGTATGCTGGGCTTTACAGTACATGTACATGTACGTATTGCTCTTGTAAGCATTAAATGTAGGCTTTGCATCAAATAAAACATTATTTTTTGAATTCATTAAATGGTGAGTACTAAGGGCCTAGTTCAATAAGCATGTTAGAAGCCATGTGTAATTCCTGGTGGCTACATGCATTTGTTTGTCGTACTTCATTACACAACTGTTTATTTATTTTATTTTGTAAACTTTATTTAACAGGTGTGCTAAATGTCTCTAATCCACTGGTGACAATAAGCATTGAGTACTTACTATATTTAATCGGATACTTAAAGACATTGTACGAGCCTTTCCTACCAAGCACTCCCTCCCAACCCTCTCCTCCTAAACCTCCTAAGTCAGAGGCTGATGGTGCTACTGTGGAACAGTATGAGATGAAGTTGACTGGTTCTATTGTCAATGCACGTCTTTCAGTTTCTGGTGATGAGCCCAACCATGCTCTGATAGCCCAAGTAAGTGTTAAGCTAATTCTTATGTAAAAATAGAACTGGTTCTATTTTTGCGTTTACCCATTGCACTTTAAGTCACAATGCAAGAATTCTGAACCCAGCTTTAATTAGTTTACGAGTGAGTGAATGTGTTTGTGGATAAATGCCAAAAAGTAAATGAGTTGTTGATGATCTGTTGAATGAATAAAGGGACTTGCGATGGATGAATTAGGAGTTATGCTACTCAAGTACATGATACTTGTATGTGTGTATTTACAGCATGTATTTTGTTTGCTGCATAAATAGTTTAATGATAAATTACTGCTTCAGCAAATGTAGTGATTTTTAGGATTTTCTGCTCTTACTGAAACTGTACTCAATAGCCAACTTTGTTTTATTTAATCTTTAACAATATCAATTATTATATCAATATTTTGTATTGTAGACTGGAGTGTCTCTTAGTATTTCGTTAAAGGATGGGTCTATTTCTATTCACTCGTCACTCCATTACTGTACACCATCATCACCAGAAGAAAAGACCATAGATGAATCTGTAAACTGTAAAGGAGTGAAGCTCCTATTAACAGACACTGCTGGGGTCATTGCTGAGGGTGAAGTGGGCCCTCTGGCCATTGATGTCATTATTAAACCTGATAATGGGACTAGGATCAAAACAAGGTATCTCTATTAATATTGGAATGCCCACTTGTTTGACAACACCTTTCACTGTAGGCTGAGTAATTTCATGTTGACTGATACAGCCACCAGCACTCAGGTATGCAGTATTTACTATTGAATCACACTATATACTGTATAAGATGAAATGTTGACGGGGATTTTATATTGGCGGATTGACGGATTTATATAAAAACGCCACAATAAAATCTGCAAGCAATAATTCCATTTATGTGTGTGACCACACCCATATTAATTTAGAATAAAAAAATTAGTTAAAAGCATGGTAAAAAGCCGCTAGCTAACATGGCTTTACTATGTTTCCTTAAGCCAGTCTCTAAACCAGGTGATAAAGAACGCAATATTCCAGAAAAGGTACTGTCTTTGTCTGATAATATGTTGTCACTGAACCACAACTGCTTAAGTAAGACCCCGCCTAAGGGTGGGGATATAATTAAACTGTTAGAAATCGCCAATATTAAATCCGCCAATAAGCTAGCCATCACAAAACTGCCAAAGAAAACTCCCGCCAACAAATCCTCTTATACGGTACCACCTAATTGACACCCTGTATGTCAGAGATGCTTAAATCATATTGTAATAATAATTAGTAACCGTAGCTACTTGAAACAGCAAGCATTCTGTTTAGTTGCAAATGCATGTAAGTCAGGTTGTGTGTGTGTGTGTGTTTACGTCACTAGCAGACAATCAAGTATGAAATGAAACCTGTTTACGTGACAGCCTGGGCCCAGTGCTCATATGGGCTAATTAACGACTGGTTTTAGTATACACTGTGTGTTTTGACTGTTTGTGGTACTCATGCATGTACTGGTATAGTAGAACTAGTCTAGGCTCTTGAAATGAGGTTTGTAATTATTGCTTAATAACATTAAATTATTTCATTATTGTACTTGGCACTATTCCCTTTTACAATATAGTTTCTACTTTACTTTGTAAAGTGTAT